TATATATCTATATATATATATATATATATATATATATATATATATATATATATATATATATATATATATATATATATATATATATATATATATATATATATATATATATATATATATATATATATATATATATATATATATATATATATATATATATATATATATATATATATATATATATATATATATATATATATATATATATATATATATATATATATATATATATATATATATATATATATATATAAAATATATAATTATAAATATATAATTATAAATGTATAATTATAAATATATAACTATAATTATAACTACATTGCATGTGACTATTGCAGATGCTCACATTGCGATATTGATGCTGAAACGATATATTGTGCAGCCCTAACTTGAACCCTGTAAATTGATGATTGGTGATACGTCATCAAGATGGTGCCGAGCATGGCCACCGTGTTGCGAGCTCCCAGCAAACTTTGTATTTTGTGTGTTTTACTTGTACTTTTGACGATTTTCGTGCTGGATGTACTAGCCAGCACCTAAGCTTTTCCCTCATCCTAGCACACATGCTGCTGATGATGTGACAATAAAAGTGATTTGATTTGATGTCGAGGGTACTTTTCTGCTGGGATACTGCCCTTAAAAACTAGATAAAATAGTCGTAAACACATAGAAAAAACAACAACATACTTACATATACCCAGGGGCGCAACTGCACATTTAATGATGGGTATGCGGCTTCAACGTTTGCGTGCCCCGCTTCAATCCAACTATATTTTATAACAGGCAAGTGATAAAATGTGGAAAATATTTCCATCAATAAATTAAAGATATATTTTCATAAAGATATCAATATGCTTCAAAAATACAGTTTTGCATTTCTGAACACAACTGAATAAGTATGAAGTAGTAAAAGGTATAATTACATTAAGCATGTTAAGTCGCAAATAAATGCATCTCATACCACCCCAAATTTCTTCTCAATTTAATTTTCCCTTACTAAATGATTATAGCACCTTGACTAGCCTTGCTTTTGGATTTTTTTTACTACATTTGTCAAAACAAAATGATAGACATGGGAGTCCTAAAGGGCAAAAGAACATTGCAATTACTTCTCACATGCATACTGTGAGAAGTGTAAGGTCTGTCTTTGCCAGAACAATTGACTGAAACTGCAAAAAGTGAAATAAAAAAGACTGTCAAATGTTTAGTGTAATAAAAAAACAGAAACAAACTGTGTGAAATCTTCTATTTAATTGAAATGTTATAACTTTGTTTGTAGCTAAAATTAGTTAAAATTAGTTTTGAGCTAAGAAGTTACCAAAAGGCCTGATGAATCAATATGATGCATAATAAATTCATAAAAACATGTGTATGGTATGAAAAATGGGGGGATGGGGTGGAAGGATTTTTTATTTTAATAAAATACAATATTATAAGCGTATAAAATGCTAAATAAACATTATTAACAAAAAAGATATATTACTTGAAACTTTAAATATGGAAAATTTCAAAAATAGTTTTGGCACAATGGCGCCCCCCATGTGTGGCGCCCCTATGCGCCGCATATTCTGCATACCCCCTTTTTTTTCTGCATACCCCTGCATATACCATAGGAACATATAACAGAACATTTTTTCCAAAATCGTAGTAAACCTGAATTCATCCGATGCTAATTTATTTGTGTTGTATTATTTTTGTTCATATTGTAACTATTATTGTTTGTTTGTTTGTTTGTTTTTCTTCAACAGCCCTGTAAGTTCCTTTTGGACACTGTGTTCGCAAAGGGCATGACTGTTCGACAGTCTAAGGAGGAGTTACTGCCTCAGCTAAAAGACCAGTGCAAACTGGACCTCAGTATAGACAGGTGAGATTATGATCTCCAACATATATCGTTTCAGCATTGATTTCGCAATGTGTGCATCTGCAATTGTCCCATCACATTAGAGATCTGCACGGGACTACATTTTTAATCCCGCTTCCTCTAGGTTTTAGTCCAAACCCAACCGGTGGACAAAATAAATAACCACTTAACTATACAGTATAAATGAAACTAAATTTATGAATTCTTTCCATATAGAGTAAAATTTCATTCATATCACAAATACAGTATAATCACAGGAAAACAAAACATTCCAATGTCAGTTTATTTCAGTATCAGTGCAGCTCTAGGTGCGATCCTATCAAATGTTCATTACTTCATATATTGTGTACCCTAAAACACTAAATCACAAAATAAATTTCATGCAAACCCTTTTTTTTTAACTCCTGAAGATGCAAAGGAAAACCACCATGCTATCCATCTCAATCCTCTATTTTCATGTTTGTGATGGCTGATGTGGTCACAGGCGTGGCTCATGAATCTGCTGCAACAGTTTTGGACGCACATCCACCGTCTGTCCACCGCAGTGACACATCTGAGCTCCTCACCGCAGCCACTGACCTTTAAACGCAGCGCAGGACGAGGATTAATGCCTCTGAATACTAACAAGATGTGCTTTGCTCTGTGTCACAGGTTTAGACTCAGGAAGAAGACCTGGAAGAACCCAGGCACGGTGTTTCTGGATTATCACGTCTACGAGGAGGACATCAACATCTCCAGTAACCTGGAGGTGTTTCTGGAGGTCCTTGAAGGTGAGGTGAACATGTTGCTCCATAAACTTGGGTTTTGGGCGATTCTGTAAATGAAAGTTGAAAGTCTTTATTTTCATTCAGCCTTTTTTCCAAATGCAGGGCTCGAAATTAACTTTCTTACTTGGTAGCACCGGTGCTCCCAACCTGAAAAATTTAGGAGCACCAGAAAAAATTTAGGAGCACCAGAAAAAATGTAGGAGCACCCACCAAAAATGAATGATATATTTGACAAGTTGAATATTATGGGATTTATGGTTTTTAAAAACACCATCAGTTGGGACTAACAAAGCCCAGAAACAACTATCTAACTAATGCTGGGATGACTTAATATTTGTGCAAGAATTCCAAAATGAATATCGAATAATTATAAAATATTAATGATGATGATGACAATAATACTAATAATGAATTATATTTCTCATCATTATGCTGCCTTAAATGTGCTTTAATGTAAGTTATCTGCTATATAAAGTCCTACTGTTACTTTATGAAAAAGAAATTGATGGTTTGCATCAAACACAAATGAAGCATTGTAGTAAGAAATATTTATTTTGTTGTTTTTATATGCATGTAAATTTAAAAAATAATAGTTCTGCTCCAAAACAAACGAAATAATATAATAAATCAATATAATAAATCAATAAAGCAGTCATCAGTAATTAAATAGAAAAATAATATACACCTCAAGAATGAACGACAAAAGAAAGGAGGAAAAGTCTCACTTATAAAAGTTTTGGTTTCGGTTCATGTCGTTTTAATGCTCAGCGTCATTATGCGCTGAATTACATCTTTCTGTGTTTGCGGAAAAGCATGCGAGTCAGCCGACCCAAAATGAGGGGGGCAGAGCAGGATTCTCCCGATGAACACCAGCGCAATACTGTTCTTTGTTATAACCCGCATCAGTTTAAACTCTGTAAAGGCAAGCTTCTTTGGCGATGATGTTTTAGCCGACATTTGCGCTGTTGCAGCCTGATCTCATGAGGTAATGTATAAAGAAAGTTACGAATTGCAGTGAGATTGTGTTGGCTGAACACGCAGTGCATGCAACGCATTGAGATTCAGTGCACTTTTCACTCTTCAGCCGTTTGCATTCCCCGCGGTCACAAAAGCTCCCTCCCTGTCATCTGACAGCGGAAAGTCTTGAGTGATTAACAGCTAATATGAACCAATATAGTGGCAGGGAAGACCGATTCAGCACGTTTTTAGAAAAAAAAAAAAACAGGTTGCACTACAACAACCATTATATGCAGCCGCACGAAAGCTCCCAATATATATTATGAGGTTGCATAGCTTAAATTTCGGGCGCATATGCGACCAAAATGGTCGCAATTTCGAGCCCTGAAATGGTTATATTTTGAACTATTTTAATAATCTGTCGCTCAATGTCAGGGATTACAAGATATTACAATGTCTTGTTTGTGTGAAAGTCATAACTTAAGTTGCATGAATTATTGTTTTAAATCATGTATTATTATGTCATCCAATATATTTTTGGTGATATTTTGTTCATTTGGAAAAGCTTTTTTTCCCTGCAATTGTATTTTTTCAACATTAAATAAAAAAAATAAAAAAAAATTTCCATAAATTTGGTTAACATACTTTTACGTTTTATTTGATTGAATCATTTTTATATCAATGTAAGATACAGAAAACTGTCACTTTCACTTGCTGAAAAAATATTTTCATCTTAAATGTTCTTACACCATCCGGGTGCTCCGGTTTCCCTTACAGTCCAAAGACATGCACTATAAGTGAATTGGGTAAACAAAACTGGTCATACCGTATGTTCACACCGAAAGCGGCGAGAGCGTCCAAGGTCGCTCTGGCCGCCCTGGCGACAACGCTGTCTGCCTTCAGCTCCAGCGGCGAGAGCGTCAAAACTCGCTACATTGATCTCGTATTTAAAGGAGCCGTTGCAGCATATCAGTTACATCCCTGCATAAAACATGTTTCTAGCGTGAAAATGTTGCGCACTTCTTATCAAATTCATAAACACTGGAAGATCAAGTTGCGTCTGGTGTGGCTTTGCTTTATTTATCCAATATGTGTCCATATGTCTGAAATATCCTGAAGCAGCAGTACGGTTTTGTACTGTCACATCGCGTGAGTTTCCCGCTTTTTTGAGATAAATTTATATAACTTTAATGAACACCAGTAACCCGCCAGTAACTTATTTAATGCATGTTCCTGTAAGAAAACATTGTAAATCCGGAGACCGCAATCATCAAACCCTTGGGAACAACTGTGGTCGGAACCAAAGTTCCCAGGTCTGTGTTCCCTGAACTCCTGTCAAGCGGTGGACGTCTTCATTCTGATTACTTGCCACCGAACCGCGTCACAGCTTTCATTACCATAAAGTTGACTAGATTTCAACTCTCCTCGACGCTCAAGCCGGAGAAGACGCGCCGCACTGCTCCTCGCCGCTTATCGCCGCCGGCTCTCATTGAAAATTAATGACTTCCGGCTACTTTTACGCTCTCGACGCTTTCGGTGTGAACGTACGGATAGTGTATGAGTGAGTGTGTGAATGAGAGAGTGTATGGGTGTTTCCCAGTACTGGGTTGTGGCTGGAAGAGGCATCAGCTATGTAAAACATATGCTGGAATAGTTGGTGGTTCATTTAACTGTGGTGATCCCTAATAAATAAAGAACTAAGGGTGCATTCACACTAGGCTATCCGAACCGTGCCCAGGCATGTTTCTCGGTTTGTTTGACAAGTGTGAGTGCTTCAAATTGGGTCTAGGCGTGGTTCTAAACAACTACAATCTAAACAAGTACATTCACGTTTTAAAAAAAGCCTCAAAAGTACATCATGTTGTCCAACAGCAGCAATATTTGTCAAACTGTAGTCCTCTACTTGCCACTTGTGTGGGTGGAATAATACACAAAGGTGAAGAGGCTGTACGAGTGCTGATATTACTTTAATATCTTACGGCTATCAGCCAGATATGAAGAACAAGACAGAACTGTTGTGTGTGTGTTTATATATATATATATTGTAGAACCGGAGAGGATGAAGTCTATGTCCCAGTTGGCGGTTCTGACCCGTCGCTGGTGTCCGGCCCAGATGAAGCTGGAGGCCTTTCGGGAGGTGGTGCTGGAGAGCAGCAGCGTGGAGGAGCTCAAGGAGAAGGTATGTGTGGAGGATGAAAAGACTATTGGTGAACTCCCAATCAATCATCATTTGAGTGCTGATGTCATGTTTTGTTTCTTCAGCTCAGTGAAGTGAGTGGAATTCCTCTAGAAAACCTGGAGTTTGCCAAGGTAGTGAAGTCTTTAAGTGTCAGACTGACTTGAGTTTTGGATGTCATGTTGCAGTCCCCTTAGATCCCATTGCTGTGTTTCTCCAACAGGGACGAGGAACTTTTCCTTGTGACATTTCAGTGCTGGAGATCCATCAGGATTTAGACTGGAATCCAAAGGTCTCCACCCTTAATGTATGGCCGCTCTACATCTGCGACGACGGCGCTGTGATCTTCTACAGGTAACACTTCGACCTTTCGTAACCGAAAGTTCTATTTATATTTCACCCAAAACTCTTTATTTGAAGAAAATTCATGACTTGTTTTTAACCAGTTTTGTTGAACACAAAGGAAGATATTCTGAAGATTATTGCAAAACTGTAACCATTGACTTCCATTGTATTTGGTTTTCATGCTGTGAAAGTCTATGGTTACAGGTTTCCAACATTCTTCAGATGTTTTATGTTGTAGTCTAAGTCAGACCTTTCTTCGTTTTGCTTCAAATTTGGAAATTATGCAGTCTATTAAGATTAAAAACTGCACATATTTGATTGAATCATGGTTAAAATGCAGTGGTTGACTTTAATTTGAATGGGAAAGGATCGGCTATCAGCCAATTGGATTCAAGAACCAGACAGAACTGTTGTATAAATGTGTGTATAAATATATATATCGTCATATATTAATGTCAGCCCTATATTAATTTACATGATCTAAATTTCAAGTTAAGTGTATTAAGTGGTCATTAGGGGCCAAGCACCGTAGGTGCGTAGACACCTATTGGATCCGTTAGCGTTCCTATTATTATTATTATTCTTCCTTCTTCTTCTTCCGTTTCTTCCGCCGGATTTGAATGGCAGCCCATATAGGCGTATGCGGGAAAGTTGTATAATTTGGCACAATGATAGAGGACAGTATTAACATTAATCAGACCAAATATGAAGTCTGAAAATCAAACTCTCTAGCGCCACCACTTGTCCAAACTTTCATGTATGTTTATCATGATAACTTTTTAACCGAATGGGCTACAATCAAAAATTTTTCCTCTGATTCCTTGGCTCAGTCCGATTCAAACGCCCCCTATGACGTCATTTTCCGTCATGAATTTTTTTGCGCTATTTTAAATTTTTCGAAAAACATATTTGATCGAACTCGTCCTAGGCCCTTTCTCCGATTTTCACCAAAATTAAATCACATGATCTACAGACCATGCCAACCAAAAGTTTGGAAATCAAGTTGATTAGACCAACCGTTTCTGTTTAACTTGCGATCAAATTTAACGAAGAACTTGCGAAAATGGACTTGAGGTAATATCTCCGTAACGCATTCACCGATCTTCACCAAACTTGGTGTGTGTTATGACAACTAGGGTCTGAGGTTATATGCGGAGTTTCGGCGCACTGCCCCCTAGTGGTCAGGAGATACAAAAAACTTGCTTTTTTGGCTTATAACGTGTCAACCTTTCGTCCGAAACTCATAAAACTGGTCACATTACATCCGGCAGAGCACGTCGAGTCGAATGATGTCTGATTTTCACAGGTCAGCCATTTTGATTTTTGGCCAAAAATGCTATATTTTACCAACATATTCACGTATCATTACAAAACATGGTATGCATCTTCAACCCCATGCCCTGAAAGTACTCAAAAACGTCTGGAGCAGCGCCACCTTTTGGCCAAAAGTGACTGGCCCCTTAATTGCTGCTTGCAGCTATATTTTTAAATGAAACTGTATTTAATCTAATATTAACCTGTGTATAAACTTCTGCAGGGACAGCAGTGAGGAGCTGATGGAGCTTTCCGAAGAGGAGCGCAATGAACTGATGAAGAAGGAGAGCAGTCGCCTGCTGAAGACGGGCCACCGGGTCAGCTACTCGCCCCGCAAAGAGAAAGCACTCAAAATCTACTTGGACGGAGGGCCCACCAAAGACCCAGGACTGGACTGAGAGCCAGAGGGGAAACCAATCCTTCCCTGTTTTCTATCTGGCCTGCCCCGCTGCAGTGTAGCGCTGCCTGCCAGCAACCCTGGCGTTTGGGCCCCGCGTTGAATCAACGTTCACCAGTGCTGTCCGGCTGACGCTCTCTTCTTTGAGCTCCAGAACGCATAGCGTGGCTCAAGAGTACTATCGTGCTCCATAGTTTATTGTACTGTAAAGTTTAAAGGGAAGTGCAAAAAGCTATTTCAAGTTCAATATCATCCAGATAAATCACTTTAATAATACACCAGAGATGGGCGCGCTCATTTCGAGGGCCTTTTGGGAGAGATTTTATCATTTCTTTGGTCTGTTTGCACTCTCCGTTAATTATCGTCCTGTCGTTCTGCATCGTGTCCATCATTCGCTCTATTATTTCGAGATGCGCCCATCGATTCGTCGCGTCCATCATGCAGAGCGTGCGCGTAATGTATCCACACACCCCCCCCCCCCCCACCCCCCCCAATCTGCTTGGTAGAGCTCTTCGATCGACTCCAGCCTGTAGTTCTGGCACTTTCATCACTTGAAATCTTGGGTATGACGCTCTCACTTGAATATTGGGATGTCTCTCCTTTTTTTTTTTGGTTTATTTAACACATAGTTGTGAAATTAAATGCTGCTTTTTCTGGCTGAAGAGGTTCTATTCTTGCAGTTCATGCTTCCTATTTTTTGTTTTTGTGTGTGTGTGGGGTGTGGCTGTCGGTTTGCCCCGCCTACTGACTGCTGAAGCTCCGCCCTTCACCTCTCACTACACTTCCTACTGGGGCAATTGACACTGGTACATATGAATTTGCAAGCCTTTAAAAATAGGGCGAAATGAATCAAGTAGTGCGCTTCGTTCACCCGATTCATTCGTTTTTGTTTTGTTTTTTTGTAAATTATTTCACCGCAGACTGATTAAGATGATGTTGGTCTTGTGAGAGACTTTTAACGGCACGTGTTTTAATTATTTTGATCTGTACTCTGCTTTTTTTTTCTCATTTAGACAAGTCCTGTGCTTTTTCTTTTCGTTTTTGTTTTGATTTCTGCACATTGCGAACAGAGCCTGTGGGTTTGGGGTTGTGGCAGGTGTGCATGTGTGGAAGTGCTTCTCGCTGCTGTTTTTGGCGTCGCTGGAGGGGGGCAGAGGGGTCTGGACGTCCCGCTGGGGGAGCGCCAGTGTCCGAGCTCCACCGCAGACTCCTAATGCTGCCACAAGCTGTTCACAGTAGACATGCCAATACTGAAATAAAAAGCAACAATCAGTCTCTGTCTGCCTGCCTTCAGGTTGACCTGCATGAAGAGCTCAGAGTTTGAGCAGTTTATTGGGTGGTGTAAAGAATCGAGTTATTTCTAAAGGTTGTCTACTCTCATTCAGAAATCATAACAATTTTAAATTATAGTTAATATAAATTATATACGCTCTGTGAGGTTGTTTTTTTGTTGTTGTTTTACACTTGGGGAGGGGAGTTAAAGGTGCTGTATGTAAGTTTTTGACCATATGTCTCCAGATATTTAAGAAACATGCTAAGTGAGCATTCTTGTTTATCTGAAAAACCATGCTGAAGTCAGATATTCTACTTTAAAAATGTGCGTTACGTGCTGGAATGTCTGTCTTTGTTTTGGTCGTTTAACTCAGTGGTTCTCAAAGTTGGGGTCTGGACCCCCCGAGGGGTTGCGGGGCAATAAAGGGTGGGTCGCCTGGTGTTTCCAAAAATTTATTTATTTTTATTAAACCATAAGAAATAACTTATTTTATCCATAACTATACTGAAAATAAAAATAGTCGTTTATAGTTACTATATACTATATAGTTACTATAGTAGCTTATAGTTACTAGTTCTATTGGATTGCGACCCCTGGGGTAATTACATTATATTAAAGGCAGCAATAGCGTCAGATGCATTTTGATTTTATAACATCAGGTTATACTTTCTGGCACATTTAAAGAACTGACACAAATTTAATTGGTGTGTCTGCGTCATTGCATGCAAGGTCTCTGTATTTATTACCACCTCAGAGGATATTGGGGGTCGCGAGTCACTGGCGTTGTTATTTTGGGGGTCGCGGGCTAAAAAGTTTGGGAACCCCTGGTTTAACTTGCCCAGTACCAGTTTAGCCAATTATATTTCAGCTCCCCGAGTAGCCTTGATATGGTACATTCAGTCATGAAGGCTCTGAAAGCATGTGCCCGCGGTCGAAATACGACCTCCAGTGGACAGTAGCAAACTCCGAAATGAGACTCAGATTCAGAGTTCCACATGAGGTGGTTATTTATTAGCAAATAACATAAATATTCTGCCCTGCCAAAGGTGCTCTGAACCAAAGCTGACAGTTAATGGAAAGAAAGCACCATCACACTTTCTTCTTGCGCATGTGATGCACTCTTTACTTGATAAGATTGTACACTGCAAAAAATGGTTTTCTTGCTTAGATTTTTTGTCTTGTTTCTAGTCCAAATATCTAACAATTCCTAAATCAAAGCAAAATAATCTTACGTCAAAAGAAAAAACAAGATTAATTTGCTTACCCTATTGGCAGATTATTTTGCTTGTTTTAAGGAAAAACTCACTTAATATTGGCATATTATTTCTCAAAACAAGACAATTTGTTTTGCTTGTCTAGAAAATTCTTCTTAATATTAGAAATTTTAGATATTTAGACTAGAAATAAGACAAAAAATCTAAGCAAGAAAAGCATTTTTTTGCAGTGTAGAACTAAAAAGGAAAAATACAAATGTAGAAATTACTAAATATTTACAAAATATGTCATAATATTCACATTTGTAAACGTCAACTGAAATATTCTAACAGCTAAATCAGCGGTGCTCAACCCTGTTATTGGAGATCAACCTTCCTGCAAAGTTTAGCTCCAACCCTGATCAAACACACCTGAAACAATTAATTAGGACCTGAACAGCACATGATAATTACAGGCAGGTGTGTTTGATATGGGTTGCAACTAAAATCTGCAGGAAGGTTGATGTCCAGGAACAGGGTTGGTCACGCCTGAGCTAAATAAACAATCGAAGCACATTATTGACGTGCACCTATATGAAAACAATTACACTGTTTGTTAGCCGATTGCAACAGATTTCAGAACAGAACGTCAAGCTTTAAACGTCAATACTGACCCTCTTTAATCTGTTTAACACACAAGAAGTATTACGGAGGTTTTCAAAATAAAATTAGTAACTTACGGTCATCTCTATCACAAGGATTGAAAGCAAACAACAACGCAGCTCTGGGCGCTGATCACAGTCTCCTCTTCTATGACTATTTAAACATCTGGTTACATTCTAAAGAATAGTGCAATAACATTTTAGCCACTAGATGTCACAATCAAAAACTAAACAAACACCATACAGCACAACAAATATTACAAATGTAAACATTAAGTGAGCAAATTACATTGTAACCATGTGTCCTAACAACACGTTACATGATGATATTTGCAGTGATAAGCAATTTGGCTGTTTGCACCAGACGAAACACGACAGAAATTTAAAAACAGCCATTTAGAAGCACAGAATAATGCACTCAATGCACTCCAAGAAAATGGTAAGGTTCATAATCTAATTAATACAAAAAAAAAACTCGTTAACAATATTAAATATAGATGCTGAATCACTCATATGTGTTGACTTGCATGATTTCAGTTCTAAAATTCAATTTCAAACATTTATTTTATTTTAAGATCTGAGGTGAACTATCTGCTGCTGCCTTCAGTAGTATAGCAATAAATGTCATGTAAAAAATGACATTCAGACTCTTTATTTGCATTTAACACTGAATGAAGCAAATGAGGTTTACCTGAGGTGATCATTGTCAGTTTATCTTGTTGTTCAGTTGCAAGACATAAGTCGTATGTAAAATATAAATTCCTGTTGTTGGTTATGACAAAAACTCCTTTCAATGTGAAATATATTCCTTCTATCGCGTGCCATTGCTTTTATTTAGAACACGGTTCAAGTCAGCTTTTGTTGGTGCCGTCAACTGGAAACCTGATCTTGCGTGCGTTTTGAACCAGGGGTGCAATACCTAGTTCAGCCACTGGGTGTCAAACTTACATACTGCATCTTTAAACATTGATCAGTGGCTTAATAGTAAGCCCACACGGAATCTGCGCAAACAGAATTCTGACGATTTTAGCCCATCAATAATTCTGTTTATTTACTTGAGTAAATGTGTGTAAATCTATATTTATTCAATTTTTAATTAATTACTGTAATATTATTGACTAATATGAAAACGGTCATCTGATTTGTGCACAATGCAGTTTGTACAGTAATATCTTTTAGCAGATATAAATCAGATATATTGTATGAGCGACTTGCTTTGTTTACCAAATAAAGTAAATCTAATTGAATTTGCATTTTAAACATTAAATAAACGTTATAAAGATAATACTTGTTATTTCACATATTAAGGTTTTAGTTATACTACCAAAAAATTCTGCAGAAATCCACATATTTTTAAGCCTGATCTCACGAGAAAACGTAAGTATTTTACGTTTTGCCAATTTAGTGGCTAATTCGTAAGAATTCAGTCGTACGAAATTGTACGATTTTAAAAAGGAGGCGTGGCACCTGACCCCACCCCTAAACCCAACCGTCATTGGGGGATGAGCACATCGTACTACATTGTACAAATTAGATCGTACGAATTCATACGAATTAGCCACTAAATCAATAAGTTACGAACTGCCGTGAGATTGTGTTGTATTTTTACCAAAATTCTTAGCTGAAATAGCAAAAAAAGTCCACAGATTATGTCTGGCCCTACTTAATGGTAATAGAATAAATGAACTGGAGATGATTTCAAAAGAAGGCGGAGCCTCAAAGCCACACTGACGTAATCCAGACCAATCATGATTCAGAGGTTGAAGGAACTGCATTTTGCTGAATGTTAGCTTTTGGCAGGCTGTTTACACGAAATCACTTTTCAATTTCCGCTTGTTAAGTCGTGATATATCTGTGACATTAATTTAAATTGAGAAAAAAATCGTTTATGACTACTTTTTAGTCATATCACACATTAAAGTAAAATTTATATAAAATCATAGCGAACACCTCAGTCTCTGGACTTGCTGCATCACAAATACCAACATTTTTACAATTTATAAAAAATAAATCACTTTCTGGCATCTGATATTAGGCATGGATATCAGTATATATACTATCTGCTACTTTTTAGATTTTAGATACGGCTTCTATGTCTTGCAACTGAACAAAAAGTTCACCTCAGGTAAAGCTCATGTGCTTTATTCAGTGCAATATATTAAATGCAAATAATGTGAGTCTGAATATCATTTTTTATGTGAAATTTACTGCTACTGAAGGCAGCAGCAGATAGTATATATATTGTGATTATGATTTTCAAAAGTATTACAGCTCTTTGTAAACGTTTATAATTATTATTTGATGAGTCTCCCCATATAGTTTGATAGAGCGTTTGGACCCAGCAGCCGCTTTGCGTGACGTCACACTTAACAAGTGGATGGGAAAAACAAAACTGGTTCATTTCGAATGCATGCTTCATTTTTGTCAAACCATAAAAATGTACCTAAACGTTTGACTGCCGTTTCTAAGTAAAACGGACGCTACAGGGCAGTATGACACCAATAGCTTTTGTTCCTTTTCACACTAATAATGTTTACAGGGACATATTATCAACTAATAAAGGATTGTTTTGGTGCAGTTCTCTGCACAACACCAAATAAATACCACAAAAAAAAAAAAAAAAAACTTAAGGATGTTTTGTAATCGTATTGGTTTGCTCCACCTACAGTATCTCTCCCTATATGGAGAACTTTTATTTGGTCAGTTTGATCAGTGGGCTACTTGTGTACGGTGTTGTTCTTGTAATGCAGAGCACTGAGGTTCAAGTCTGGTGAAGCACAGTTTTACATAAGAGATAAAAACAATGTAAAATCAAGGTAAAACTTTTAGATTTTTGAAAATACCACTGGTTGGGTTTAGGTCAGAGGTTCGTCGGTCTAGGTCAGAGATGCCCAAATTTAGTGCTGGAGGGCCAGTGTCCTGGATAGTTTAGATCTAACCCCAGTCAGACACACCTGGGCTAGCTAATCAAGCTCTTAGTAGGCTTGCTTGAAATGTCCTGGCTAGTGTGTTGAGCCTATTTAGAGCTAAACTCTGCAGGACTGCAGCCCTCCAGGACTGAGTTAGGGCATCTCTGGTCTACATGATCACTATGACAAGCCCCGCCTTCTCCTGCATCTCGACAAGACTTTGAACTTATTTCAGATTTGCAGAAATGTAGACTGCGCCCTCTGTTGGAAATGTCAAAAAATCATGCCACGAAATGTACCTGGAGAAATGTGTTTGACGTTTAGCAAAAATATAGACTGGTGCATTGGTATTTAAAATGAGCCTGGGTTGAAAAAAAGGTACTTGCAAATATTAATCTCACAGTTCGGGCTTTTGCAAGATTTGGAAAAAATTGCAAGATATAAACTTGATATTTTGAGAAAAAAGTTTGGATTGCAAAATTGTATTTAACATCCTAAGATGTGTGTTTGTTAACAGTTTCAAGGCATTAGTGAAGATTATTTATAAACTAATTTGGAGAGGATCACGTGCTTATGATTGCTTTGAACCGTCCCAGATTATTCAATTTATGATTCACCAATCAGACGATTCCTAAGCCACTATAAATACCCCAAGTTCCATACGACAGCTATCTTCGTTTTAAAGAATCTCCCCTCCCACCCCTGGCACGGCGGCCCAGTGGTTAGCACTGTTGCCTCACAGCAAGAACGTCACTGGTTTTAGTCCTTACCAAGCCAGCCGACGTTTCTGTGCGGAGTTTACATGTTCTCCCTGTGCTCAAGTGGGTTTCCCTCGGGTTCCCTGGTTTCCTCCCACCGTCAAAAAACATGCAACTTAAGTTAACTGACTAATCCAAATCGGCACCATAGACATGCTCCTAGTATACAGTTATCTCCAAGAGCAATCACTTACTGTTCATTGGTTACTACAGCAGGGGAGTTCCCGAGATCTACCTGAGCTCAAACTCCTTTCTCGCCTTGCAAACAGGAGGGCGCCCCGAGCTCGATGATCTTATGAGCTCAGGGCTCTCTCCCGGGACAGCATGCCAAACAAGCTTTATAAACAATCATCAGCTAAGCGTGAGCTCTTGAAACATGTCTACGAAAAGGTTTTCTCGGCATCATGACTAAATTAACAATTGTTCACTTAAGGAAGACATAAATGTGGATATAATACAATTCTGAGAAGGTTAAAATATCGAAATGCCAACTGCGAGTGCAGAAAATTTAAATTGTTTGATATAAACTTGTGTTTGTGAGAAAAAGACTGCAATTACATGTAGATGCAAACACAGATTTGTTTACTGTAAATAGTGTAGCGATGTCATTGCTGCAAACAGTGGCGCAACAAGGGGGTATGCAGTATATGCGGCGCATAGGGGCGCCACACATGGGGGGGCGCCGTTGTGCCAAAACTATTTTTAAAATTATCCTTATTAAAAGTTTCAAATAATAAAAATAAATAAATATGTTTTGTTAAAAAAACATTATTTTGCATTTTAAACGAATATAATATTGTTATTGTTTAATTCAAAATCATTTAACACAATAACATGCAGTCCCACAGCCTAAAGTGTTCACGTAGATGTAACTGTTTAGATTTGTTTTTATTTTTATCAAAATAAACTGTCAAATCATACATAATGTCAAAAGTTATAAGATTAATCTGAAAATTTGTCTTCATTTATTATTAATTAATTAATATAAAATAAGAGGGATCACACAAAATTTGAACCCGCATACCCCTCAGTAAATGTGTAGTTGCGCCCCTGGCTGCAAGATGGGCACAGTTCACAGGGAAGCCACTTTCAAGCCGAGCAGCTTTCTGTCATAAGTTTTGTCACCAGGGCAAAATCTGATTAGAGGAAATGATTTGCCCTTATGCAAAATTAGCAGTTCACACTCGTTCAACAAAAATATAAACGCAAATATTTCTCTCATATATTATTCACACACTTGTCTAAATGAGTGTTGGTGAGCGCCTTTGCAGAAACAATTCATCCACCTCACAGGTGTGGCAAATCAATATGGTGATTAGACAGTATGATTATTGCACAGGAGTGCCTTAGGCTGGTCACAATATAAAAGACCAATAAAAGGCATGATGACTGCAGGAAAGCCCACAAGTGCTATTGCCTGTGAATTGAACGTTAATTTCTCTACCATAATCCGTCTCTAAAGGCATTTCTGAGAATTTGGCAGAACATTGAATGGGCCTCACCTCTACAGAGCGGTTTAATTACAGACGTGTAACCACACCAGCTCAGGACCTCCACATCCAGGATCTTCACCTCCAAGATCATCTGAAACCAGCCACCCGGACAGCTGCTGCAATAATTTGGTTTGTTGAATCAAAAATATTTCAGAACTACAAACAGTCCCTCTTTATTATCTTTGCCTTTGGTTAAAAAAAACTAGGTCTTCATTTTCTAAAATAATGATAAAGGTCTTATAAGGGAGTTTTTTTTTTCTCTGAATATTATTACAATAGTTGGTCCCACTTTATATTAAGTGTCCTTAACTACTATGTACTTACATCAGAAAATAAATACAATGTACTTACTGTGTTTAAAATGTATTTGAGAACACTTGTGGTGCTTTTGAGTTGGGATAGAGGTTGGGTTATGGACAGGTTTGGTGGCATGGGTAGGTTAAAGGGTGGGTTAAGGTGTAAGGGATGGTCAACAGTGTATTTACAAATGTAATTACAAAAGTTAATTAAAGATGTAATTACATACATGTATTTAATCAAGCATAAGTACACAGTAAATACATGTATTTACACAATAAGTACATTGTAACAAACTATTAATTCCTGTGTAAGTACTTATTAGTTAAGCCCACCTAATATAAAGTGGGAGCCAATAGTTTTGTGTATGTCTAAGGAATATCCACTCGTAATTTTATTAAGTAAACATTCATTGATTCATTCATTTTCTTTTCGGCTTAGTCCCTTTATTAATCTGGGGTCGCCACAACAGAATGAATCGGCAACTTATCCAGCATATGTTTTACACAGTGAATGCCCTTCATGCTGCAACCCAACACTGGGAAACACCATACACACTCATTCACACACATACTCTACAGACAATTTTTAGCTTACCCAATTCACCTGTACCGCATGTCTTTGGACTGTGGGGGAAACTGGAGCACCCGGAGGAAACCCATGCGAACACAGGGAGAACATGCAAACTCCACACAGAAATGCCAACTGACCCAGCCAAGGCTCAACCCAGTGACCTTTGCTGTAAGGCGACAGCACTACCTACTGTGCCACTGCGTCGCCCAATTCTGAGTTTAAAAGATATGACTTTATAACTCACAATTCTGACCCAATAACTCACAATTCTGACAGAACTCTCAATAATGACTGAACAATTCGCAATCAGACTTGATAACTTGCAATAATGACTTAATAACTCGCAATTCTGACTTAATAACTTTTCAATTTTGACTTTATAGGCTATCTCAGAGTTCTGACTTAATAATTTGCAATTCTGACTTTATAAACTTTTTTTTTACATTGTCTTTATTATTATTTTATTATTATTTGTTTAAGACTAGTAACATCAACCCAGCATTTTTTGTGTACATGCAAACTTGAACAAACCTGCGTGTTTTAGTATAGATAGATGGATAGACAGACAGATAGATAGATGATAGTGTTTTTTTTGGTAAACATTTAATAAAAATCCACGAAAATTGAAATTTTGGGAGCATAAAGCATATAATCGATCATTATCTGCTTTTAAACTACTGGTAAATGCCAATTATATCAGTCAATTTACAAGCACATAAAATAAAATAAATAGCGAAACAACAGAAGCATTTTCCCAACATATTTTATTTTCTGGAGTGAATTTATAGTATTTATTGCCTATAGGGAGATTACATGAAGCTTAATTCTGCATAATTCACGACTACACTTAATTGAGATGAACTGGATCTTATTAAAGCTGTCTTCATGATTTCTCTGCCAGGTACATATTTTTTAAGCGTTAGTACTGTACATTAATAATAAGTGCTTAAAGGGATGGTTCACCCAGAAATTAAATTTCTGCCATATACTCGCCCTTGACTTGTTTAAAATCTATTTGAGTTTCTGTCTGCTGTTAAAAGATATTTAGAAAGATGTTGAAAACCTGTAACCATTCACTTCTATACTTTTGGAAGTCACTGGTTGCAAGTTTGGTGGCACGGTGGCTCAGTGGTTATCACTGTCGCCTCACAGCAAGAAGGTTACTGGTTTGAGTCTCCGCTGGGCCAGTTGGCATTTCTGTGTGGAGTTTGCATGTTCTCACAGTGTTGGTGTGAGATTTCTCCGGCTGCTCCGGTCCAAAGACAGTTCATAGACATGCACTATAGGTGAATTGGATTAACTAAACTGGTCGTAGTGTTTGACTGTGAATGTGAGAGTGTATGGGTGTTTCCCAGTACTGGGTTGAGGCTGGAAGGGTATCCGCTGTGTAAATCATATGCCGGAAAAAGTTCATTCAGTTCATGCTGGAATCAGTTCATTCAGCTTTGGCTACCACTGATAAATAAGGAACTAAGCTGAAGGAAAATGAATGAATGGTTACAAGTTTCCAACATTCTTCAAAATATCTTCAAAAACCAAAGAACCTCAAAAAAAAAGCGGAGGATGAGTAAATGATGACAGATTTATTTAGTTTTTGATTGAACTATCCCTTTAAAACCCACAATCAAGCTGCATCAACAGTGCCGATCACACTGACACCCATTCGATTTACATTCAGTCTCGATTTGTCAGTGTAAACAGTCTTGTACATTCAGGCTCTCAGTGAACATTCACAGCTGCATTTCAGGGCTTGTCAGTAAATGTGGTGAAGGATTTATTTCTACAAGGAAGGAGTAATTTTCCATAAAGCTGTGGAGTTATGATGAAGCATTGAGCAGCTCTGCTTCGTCTTTGTGTTGAAGTCTCAGACGATGTAGTCGATCTCAGAGTAAAGTGTGTCGGTGAGCTCCTCCTCGCTGGAGTTCTGGCTCTTCAGACACAGCGCACCACGACTGCACAACATAACACACAACACAATACAGAGAAAAGTTAGCAAATCAACATTCGGTAGAATATTTCTCAACCACTTAAAAATGAAAGGATTTGTTATTCTGACTAATTATCAAAGCTTTAAAGTACACATGAAATCAAAACTAACCATATTGATTTTGTTAGCTCACATTGCTAGTTTTGTGGTGAATTCATCTGTGCATTCAGGAAAACAAATGTGTTTGCTCTTTAATGTAAAATTAAAACCTGAAATGCACTTTCTGTTTGTTTTCAGTGAAATTGTCAGATTACATCTGTCTTAGGTATTGGGCGTGGCTAACATACTTAACCACGCCCCCCCCCCCTTCCCCTCAAACTGTCAGTTTAGACAACAAATGGTGAGGAGGAGGAGTTTGTTAGCTTGTAATAACCAGAGATGGGAAATAACGAAGTACAAACACTTCGTTACTGTACTCAAGTAGATTTTTCTGGAATTAGTACTTTACTCCACTACTTACTTTTCTGACAACTTTTTACTTCTTTTATTTTTACACAGATATGATACAAAGATAAAATAAATCAGTTATTAGAAATCAGTTATTAAAACTATTATGTTTGGAAATGTGTTGAAAAACTCTGCTCTCTGTTAAACAGAAATTGGGGGGAAAAATAAAAAGGGGGTCTAAAAATTTAGGGGGGCTAATAATTCTGACTTCAACTATATATAAATATTTGGTCCCACTTTATATTAAGTGGCCTTAACTAATATGTACTTACACAGGAACTAATAGTTTGTTACAATGTACTTATTGTGTAAATACATGTATTTACTGTGTACTTATGCTTGATTAAATACATGTATGTAAATACATCTGTAGTTAACTTTTGTAATTACGTTTGTAAATACACTGCTGACCACCCCTTACACCTTAACCCACCCTTAAACCTACCCATACCACTAAACCTGTCCATAACCCAACCTCTATCCCAACTCAAAAGCACCACAAGTGTTCTCAAATACATCATGAACACAGTAACTACATTGTTTTTATTTTTTTTTTGATGTAAGTACATAGTAGTTAAGGACACTTAATATAAAGTGGGACCAAATATTTATAGAATTTATTTATTTTTGCATATTTCAGTTTCAGTTTTTTTTGTTTACGGTCTGATACCCGCGATGTTGGCACTGCAGTTCTCCAGCACATGGGCAGTGCTCTTGAGGCCCCTCCCCGTCCATATCCCATGACAGCAGCTCCATCAGGTGATTGGCTGAAATGATGCAGCGCTCGCGTTCTATTGGCTTAGCAATGCACACTGGGAATAGCAAGGCTGGAAAAAAAACAAACAAATCCAGCAGTTTTACCAAAATGTTTACAAAGAATTGGCTTACATTTATGATGCAAGACTCTCGTACCTTTATGAAAGGCACAGCAGAAATCCTCCTTACAGTCAGTCTGATACTGACAGATGGTTCCTGCTTCTCCCTTCGTGATGTTGATGGTGCACTGACCCCAAACACACAACTGTCCCGCACAGCACTCCTCGTCTTTGGTGCATGACTGAGGGACACAGGACATAATGAGAAAAAAAAAATCTTAGGCCAGTAATATTTATAGTAGCATATACTGTAGGATCTATAGCAGGGGTCACCAATCTCTTTCCTGGAGGTCCGGTGCCCTGCAGGGTTTAGCTCCAACTTGCCTCAACACACCTGCCTATGTGTTTCAAGTATACCTAGTAAGACCTTGATTAGCTTGTTCAGGTGTGTTTGATTAGGGTTGAAGCTAAAATCTGCAGGACACCGGACTTCCAGAAACAAGTTTGGTGACCCCTGATGTATAGGATAAACGCATCAGCAAAATGACAACTCCGACACAATGAAACAGAGACCCACAGTCACAGGTACCACAGTAAGATACATGAGCCGCACACAAATGGCGTTACAATGCTCGCACAAACACACTCACATAAACACACATTTAACAAGTTGTGCTGTTTTTGCTCATCTGGGGGCTATTCCATAAACCAAGCTTACAGAAAAAGCCAGGCTTGTAAGAAATCTGTGAGGGGTGTTCTTAGCTTAGCTCTCTCTCTCTCTCTCTCTCTCTCTCTCTGTCTCTCTCTCTCTCTCTCTTTTGATTTATATATATATAAATATAATATGAATATGAATTTATAAATATATAAAAAAAAATTTTTACCTACATACATTTATTTTTTTTTCGGCTTAGTGCCTTTATTAATCTGAGGTTACCACAGCGCAATGAACGGCCAGCTTATACAGCATATGATTTATGCAGCGGACGCCTTCACTGGGAAACATCCATACACATCATTCACATTCCTACACTATGGCCAAGCTTATTCAATTCATCCCATAGCTAGCGTATGCCGCTTGTCTTTGGATTTCGGGGAAACCAACAATTAGGACATTTTGTATGTTACAGTGAGCCTGCAAGGCATTAAAACATTTTCTTGCAAGCAAAAATTGGCAGTAAGCGCAAATCCTCTCTCTCTCACGCAGTCGCGAGCACGGTCAAGCACAATTACTATGTTTTAAAACAAATCTTTAATTTCATGTTAATACGCCTAAATAAAAGCCTATATTTAAAAATATATTGCTACTAATGTAGCCTATTGAACAATCTGCAGTTTCGCGGCTCGCTCGCTGTGAACAGCTGTGTCTCATTTCAGAGCTCTTTCAGTTCTCGAAGTTGCCATGGTAGCACACAACATAATCGATGTATCTGCTCGACTTTTAAGGTTTCACGACAGAAACGTGCACGAGCAGTTATCTAGATTATTTAAACTGAGCTCAGATTAGTCCGATCAAATGATCTTCAACTTGTTGTTATGGAACCAATTTAGTCAGGCTTTTGACTTTAATCCCAGCTTTTCTTAACCACTTTTATGAAATAGCCCCCTAGTTGCAGAAAATGTGACAGGATGCCCAATAAATAGGTAAACATCCTGCTGTCTAGAGATCATGATAGCAAAGTTACTGTACAAAATAAACCTGACTTAACATTCACAAACTGGGAATAATGTTGTGTGATTTGAAGAGTCCTTGGTTATAGTTGTGTACGCTATGCAGCTGTGGTGATTCCAGCGGTTATGAATTATTCAGCTCAAATTATAGTTCAAAATGCTAAAAAAATACTAAGTGTAGCACTTACCCCAGATTGCACATGAATGTGGGCCACTTTAGGCAGTTATGCGGCACTGGTGGTATTCCTTCGGCCCAGACAAAATGAATGTGAGCCTAAAGTGGCCCACCTGTACAGTGGCAAAAGGAGGCCAAAGATTCTCGTTCATATATGGGCCATTCAGGGCAAAGATTTGGCACTTATGGCAAAATGTAATCTGAATGTGAGCCTAATGTGGCCCATGTGGAAAAGGATCAATTTGGCCCAAATGATAGAGGACAAATGTGGCCACAGTTGGCAAAATAGTGTCATAGTCATTTAAGGGTAATCTGTGTCTAAACCTAAAGTGTCTCACACGTCTTGATGCAAATGTGGCCCAGTTTTCTTAAGACATATGTGGGCCACTTTTGGCAAATATTTGGCAAAGTAAGCTCTGGCTTTTGCAGCTGTGAGCCTAATGTGGCCCAGAGAAAATATGGAAAATGTGGCCCAGTTATTGTAAGACATGTGGGCTAGTTTGGCAAATATTCGGCACAGTACGCTCTGGCTAATGCAACCGTTAGCCTATCGTGGCCCAGAGAAGATGTGAAAAACGTGGCTCAGTTATCTTAAAACATATGTGGGCCACTTTTGGCGAATATTCGGCTCAGTTAGCTCTGGCTAATGTGGATTTGAGCCTATAGTGGCCCAGAGAAGATATAGCAAATGTGGACCAGTTATCCTGAAACAAATGTGAGCCACTTTTGGCAAATATTTGCCACAGTTAGCTCTGGCTAATGTTTAAAGCGGCCCAGAGGAGATATGGCAAATGTGGCCCAGTTATATTAAAACATATATGGACCACATAGACTAAAGTCACCATCATGGAGAAAAGTGTTTGCTTGAGTTGGGCTTATAGCCCTGAACCTCTTAATATAAATTTTCTTTTGGGCTGCTGTAATTTTTAAGAACTTTGCTAGAAAAGTTTATTCATTACAGCAAACAAAATGAAGTGAGGCACAACCTGTGATGAAATAATATAATTCACTGATGTTTACCAACGTTTAATCCATTATAAGAAGTAAAAGGCCAGATCTTGGCCAGAATAAAAGCAAATTGTGGCCCTGAATATGGTCAGTTCTAGTTCATTTGGTTGAATTATGGCTGATATGTGGTATTGCTTTGGCTTATTTGTGGTCCAGATCTGACAAACAGGAGTGGACCGCCCTAGAGCCATCAGTCCATTCAGTATGTGGTCCAGATGTAAGTGTCTGGTGTGGGCCGGATCTGGGCCAGAATAAAAGAAAACTGTGACCTAGATTCGGGTCAGTTCTGGTTCATTTGGTTAAATTCTGGCTGATTTGTGATACTGTTATGGCTTAATTGTGGCCCAGATCTGGCAAATAGGAGCGGACCGCCCAAGTGCCATCATTCCATGCGGTATGTGGGCCGGATGTAGGTGTCTGGTGTGGGCCGGATTTGAGCCATGTGAATTTTGCTAGCTTGGACTGCTTCCTGAAGTGCAGTTTGATCAGAGAGAGTTGGAACAGATCTTTTAATCAGAGTTTCTTTGCAAATCCTGTCTCTTGGACATCATTATAAGCATTAATACTGAGACATGGTAATATGGGCTTGTCAATCAGTATCAGCCCGTGGGGAAAAACGCCACATAAAAGTTGGCCTCAAAATCATTGAGATTATGATCAGATTTTAATGTCAGACTTTAAGAAAGAGACTTGTGTCTATATCCCTCCAATATGACTGTAGGACTCAAACCTGCGACCTTCTTGCTGTTAGGCGACATGCATTCGATCAATACTTTCACCCTTTTATCATCATCCAAGAAAAAATCCTAGAGAATGCTTAAAAAATTATTGGCAGCACAATGGTTAACCCATGCAGCCAGGTGTGAGGACAAGGCTTTCTAACAAGCAGATGTGGTTTGTTTTGGTTGAGCTTTAATCTTCAACAATATCCTGCATGAGTAAAGCACAGCTGTATTCTGCTTAGCTGGCTTCTATACTTCCTGTGCCTCTGGTTGAACTCAATATGTCCTATGTGAGGCCTGGGAAAGTGCTCATATTCAGCAGTCTGCGCACTTTGATGTGCAACCCAAAGGAGAAATGCTCCAGCATATCAGATTCCAGGTGCACTCGTGCTGCAATGCAGTCACAATGCAGACTCCGTTGCATCATATTGTCGGAAAGCCACGTTATCTGTGCTGTTTGTTTTGCTGAGCCCCGGAGAAAGCAGAACAAATATACGTTTACTATCAATGGAGTCTGCTTTTATCAGTAGTTTGTGTATTACTTCAGCATGTCTTATGCATTTTGATAGATATATAGATCGATAGATAGATAGATAGATAGATAGATAGATAGATAGATAGATAGATAGATAGATAGATAGATAGATAGATAGATATATAGATAGATAGATAGATAGATAGATAGATAGATAGATAGATAGATAGATAGATAGATAGATAGATAGATAGATAGATAGATAGATAGATAGATAGATAGAGATTAGCTATTATCAAGATGAGACCATTCTTAAGATGAGACTTTAAAGGTACCAGAATGACTGATATAAGACAGACAGACAGACAAACAGATAGATAGATATTGATTTTGATGAATAGTAACAATAAAAATTCTGTTATTCTACTATTCTATTAAAAATACATCTTACAAATCAGTTTTACATTTATTTTAGGCTATATTTAGATACAAATGGCCGTGTTACAAGAAAACGTTTCTTTTAAACACTTGCACTCAGTGTGGTTTAACCACCACTATAGGGGTGGTCAGATTTATATATATATATATATTAACCTGTTATTTTCATTATTAGAAATCACACTCTTTCATCTCTCATTTTAACAGACACTTGCACCAGTTTTACTCATTTGCACCAGACACTTTCTAACAAACCCTTCATCTCTCTACACTCTACACAAATGTTATTTATTTAATCCAATGGTTAAGTTAACAATATTTCGTGCTTTTTTTATTAACCTTAATTGGGTTATTTATTTAATAACTTAACCAGTTGGGTTATAAATGTTGAATTTCAACAGTCAACTGATTTAACTGACAACTATAGGCTAACTGTTGTTTTTGCATAATTACGTTATTGGCAGGGCCAGACGGAATCTGCGGACGTTTTTTGCTATTTCTGCGGAGAATTTTGGTCAAAATCTGCGGATTTCTGCAGGAATTTTTTTGGGAGTATCCATACTAAATTACTGAATAAAAACTGAATAAATTTAGATTTACACATTTACTCAAGTAAATAAACAGAATAAATGATGGGCTAAAAATCTGCAAAAATCTGCGTAATTCTGCGGAAAATCTGCGGAATTCTGCGCGCGCAGATTCCGTGTGGGCCTAGTTAATTGGTACTTTACTATAAGGTTCATTAGTTAATGCATTTACTAACATGAACTAATAATGAACAACACATGTACAGCATTTATAAATCATCAAACATTTACTAATGTATTATTAACATCCAAGTCCATGCTTGTTACCATTAGTTAATGCACCATGAGTTAACATGAACTAACAATGAACTACTGTTTTTTCATTAACTAACGTTTACTAACATGAACAAATACAGTAGTAAATGTATTATTCATTGTTTGTTCATGTTAGTAAATGCATTAATTAACATTTACTGTAAAGTGTGACCCGTTTATTTAAGCACTATTAATATTGTTTTTGTATTGTTTTTTAATCAAATTACCTTTCCATGTCATGTTTTTATATCCGTTTCACCTGCACTCTTAATTATTGATGACACAAACTCGATCTATATAAATAGATAAAAACGCTGTGTCTGGAACTTAAAATGTAGTGGAAATAAAGCATTTTCAATATATTTAAATACGGCATTTTAATTATTTGCACAGCCATAATTATAAAATTAATAGTAGTCATAGTAATAGGAGCAATAGTAATACCAGAATGGAAAAAAAATATTTATTGAAAATAACCCAATGCATTGGGTTAAATTTAATAACCCAAAGCATTAGGTTAAAATAACCCATATTTGGGAAGGTGCTATAATAACCTATAGTTGGTTTATATGTTGGTTTATTTTCAACCCAACTATTTTAACTGAGTTAAAAACAAACTAACAAACTAACAAACCATTGTACACTTATGAAGTGTGCCTCACACATGTGAGTGGGCCAGACAAACCACCTGTAGAAACATTTATCTTTCTAGAAAAAAAACAACATTCACTCCTCCTAAATCCAGCACTAATTCTTAGCGCACTAAACGTTCCTTTGTGTGTATTACCTCTTCTTATTAAATTGCCGAATGCCTCCTCAATTGTACCGTAAGTTGACTTCATTGTTTGAATTGTAGGCTGCGGGACAAAATCTGCGAAATGACTAAATGAAATGTAAATGTAACAACTTTCCACTATTTAAAGGCCCCACCCCAACACACACCCCCAGACACTGGGATCAAGTGTTAATTACAGATGTCAGACTCCCCAAAACCCCCTGTAATTTGCTTCCTGAGTGAATGGATTTAGCCAAAGACCAGGTTGAACACTTAGTATATAATAGAGGACATTTCCTGCTGGATACTGTGGGGCGCCTGCTCGGTGAAATGTGAAACTGCTTACCGCATCAAGCTGTTTGCATGGCAGACACTTTGAGCTGTGCGTCTCATAGAGGCAGTACTTGCCCTTCTCACAGTCTTCGTCAATGACACACTCCTGAAAGACACAAGAAAACAGATTTTAGCATCACATTTAACACACAATCCACATACTGATTTATACTTGAGCTGTAGTTTGCACAACAACAAGGGATATGAGGTGGGCATATGGAGTTGTTGTTGTTTCCCTCCTACTTTTATACTGGTTCATAAATAAAGGCAGAGGGTGAGGGTAAATAATGTAATTACATGCTGTTTATTAGGGATGCAAAAGCTTTATGTAATTCATGTACTCTTACTTCACACAAAAAAGTAAATAAAAAAATACTTTTGAATGTTACGCAGCATTGATATTGTCTTACATTATACACATTTGTTCATTGAATTTTGTGACAGGTTGATAAAGATGTTTCACACATGGTGCGCTAATCCATTAGTTACAGGAATCCAGTAATGCTAAGAGGTTAACATTATTATTATTTTAAAATATTCAATTCAATTAATCTTTATTGCTGTAGCTATGTAGATTGTGTCAAAGCAGCTTAACATAGAAGTTCTAGTAAATTGAAACAGTGTAGTTCAGTTTTCAGAGTTTAAAGGGCACATAGTTTACCCCTTTTTTAAGATTTAATATTACAGTTTTTCTCAGTGGCTTTTATGCGTTTCTCACAACACCAGTGCATTTCTGCACAGCAGTTAATGCATTTCTCAAAACAATTAGTACAAACTGCAAAACCTAGCTGATAACCTGCAAAAGCATGTCACATGCTCAAAATGGATAGTTCATTCCTCAAAAGCAAGTATTCATGTCAATCAAAGTGTCTGTCATCAAAATGAAAAGTCATGACACCATTGTTTATAAACAAGATAGTCAAATGACTTTGTCATGTTTTCATCATGACAGTTTACTCTGGACATTTTTTCAATGCAAAAAAGTCAGATGTTGGTGACACTTCCTGAAAATGCTCAAGACAGCACTATATACTATTTGCACAGCCATTTGAAAACTACAGTAAAGTTGGACATCACTGCATTTAGAGAGGTATCGGAGTACAAGACACTGAATAGGTATGTTTTACATTTTTACTGCATTTGCTCTTTGCAATTCGAATCTATTCACAGCATTGTGCAAAAGAATAAATCCACCCTTATTTACAACAAACGTAAACTCCCTTTCGGTTGAACTGTAAACAACAGAAATCAAATCTTTATTAGGTACACCTTACTAGTGCTGGGTTGGACCCTCTTTTGCCTTCAGAACTGCCTTAATCCTTTGTTGCATAGATTCAACAAGATACTGAAAATATTCCTCAGAGATTTTGGTCCATATTGACATGATGGCATCATGCAGCTGCTGCAGATTTGTCGACTGCACATCCATGATGTGAATCTCCCGTTCCACCACATCCCAACGGTGCTCTATTGTATTGAGATCTGGTGACTGTGGAGGCCATTTGAGTACAGTGAATTCATTGTCATGTTTGAGGAACCAGTCTGAGATGATTCTCTATTCTGCTGGCAGTAGTCATCAGAAGATGGGTACACTGTGGTCATAAAGGGATAGACATGGTCAGCAACAATACTCAGGTAGGCTGTGGTGTTGACACGATGCTCAATTCGTACTAATGAGCCCAAAGTGTGCCAAGAAAATATCCCCCTCACCACTACACCACAACCACCACCACAACCAACCTGAACCGTCGATACAAGGCAGGAGGGATCCATGCTTTCATGTTGTTGATGCCAAAATCTGAACCATTCATCTGAACAGAAATCGAGACTTAGAGCAGGCAATGTTTTTCCAAATTTTGGTGAGCCTGTGTAAATTGTAGCCTCAGTTTCCTGTTCTTAGCTAACAGGAGTAGCACCTGATGTGGTTTTCTGTTGCTGTAGCCCATCCACCTCAAGGTTGGACGTGTTGTGCACTCAGAGATACTCTTCAGTTGTAGGGAGTGGTTATTTGAGTTACTGTTGCCTTTCGATCAGATCGAACAAGTCTGGCCATTCTCCTCAGACCTATGAAATCAACAAGGCATTTGTGCCACAGAACTGCCGCTCACTGGATATTTTCTCTTTTTCAGGCTATTCTCTGTAAAGCCTAGAGATGGTTGTGTGTGAAAATAACAGTAGATCAGCAGTTTCTGAAATACTCAGACCAGCCCGTCTGGCACTAACAACCATGCCACATTCAAAGTCCCTTAAATCACCTTTCTTCCCCATTCTGCTCGGTTTAAACTGCAACAGATCGTCTTGACCATGTCTATATGCCTTAATGCATTGAGTTGCTGCCATGTGATTGGCTGATTCGATATTTGTGTTAACGAGCAGATGGACAGCTGTACCTAATGAAGTGGCTGGTGAGTGTAGATATTTATATTTGTTGTTTGTCAATCTCAACAGTACAAGGACAATAAATGTAAAATGTTTGAAATGTACCTACAATTCCCAGCTGGCCCCTTGGTGTCAAAACGTCATTAAAAACGTGAAAAAAATGTCAAGGATTAGACATCAAATCCACCAGCGTCTATTTGACACCCAAACATTGATGCCCTTTTGGCCAACAAGTTTTTTTTTTATGTAAAAAAAGTTTTATTTATCTAAATTTCCAAATTGTGTGTCCCTAAAATGCATGTAAACTAACTTGATGTCAAAACGACATCTAATTGACATCTAACTTTGGCATCATATACACATTGACAATTTTTGACTTGTTTTCTGATGCCGATGTAAGATGTCAATTTAATGTTGTTCTGTCATCAAGGTAGTCAACTGACATCAAATGGATTTGCATTTTATGATTTTTGACAGGTTTTGTATTATCAAGGTGACCCCTGGGTTCTGGAATAAATCACAAACTAAAAAAAAGAAATCCAATTTGTTATTCAGCTTTTACTTTCTTCTAAAAAAAAAAAAAGCTCCATTTGTGGCTGGAATGGGTAGATCTGAAATGTCAAATAAATCTGTAAAGTCCCAGATGAATATCTTGTATCTCTGACAAGTATCTTGCCTAATCAGCTGAACTGTCACCTCAGATCCAGAACCCTGCCATCTAAAAGACCAGGTCAATACACAGCAGACGGCCTTATTTCAGTCAGCCGGCAAATTAAACTCTGAGGAAGGGTATTTCTATTTCTGCTGACATCTCTGAGAAATGTGAGCAAGCACAAGGGTTTCGGTTAGAGACGATCCTCGCTATCTGTACGTTCTTAAAGGGATAGTTTACCCCAAAATGAAAATTCTGTCATCATTTACTCCTGTTTGAGTTTCTTTCTTCTGCTGCGCACAAAAAAGCAGCCATTGACTTCTATAGTATTTTTGTTCCTACTATGGATGTAAAGAGCTGCTTTTTTCCAACATTCTTCACAATATACAAGGTTTAGACTAAATGTTAAGAATTTTCATGATGCTTCTGCAATTTTCTAATCAGCCAATTACATGACAGCAACTCAATGCATTTAGGGATGCAGACATGGTCAAGACAATCTGCTGCAGTTCAAACTGAGCATCAGAATGGGGAAGAAAGGTGAATTAAGTGACTTTTTTTAATGTGGCATGATTGTTGATCCCCAGCGGGCTGAGTATTTCAGAAAACGCTGATCTACTAGAATTTTCATGCGCAACCATCTCTAGGATTTACAGAGAATAGTCAGAAAAAGAGACAATATGCATTGAACGGCAGTTCTGTTGCGCAAATGCCTTGTTGATGTCAGAGGAGAATGGCCAGACTTGTTCGAGCTGATAGAAAGGCAACAGTAACTTAAATAACCACTCTTTACAACTGAGGTCTGCAGAGGAGCATCTCTGAGTGCACAACACGTCCAGCCTTGAGGCAGATGGGCTACAGCAGCAGATGACCACAAGAGGACCCACTCCTGTCAGCCAAGTACAGGAAACTGAGGCTACAATTCACTCAGGCTCACCAAAATTGGACAATAGAAGATTTAAAAAAAAGCCTGATCTGTGGAGTCTCAATTTCTGCTGGCACATTCAGATGGTAGGGTCAGAATATGGCGTCAACAACATGAAAGCATGGGTCCATTCTGCTTTGTATCAATGGTTCAGGCTGGTGGTGGTGGTGTAATGATGTGGGGGATATTTTCTTAGCACACTTTGGGCCAATTAGTACCAATTGAGCATCGTGTCAATGCCACAGCCTACCTGAGTATTGTTGCTGACCATAATGTAAGCATCTTGTGATGGCTACTTCCAGCAGGATAACACCCCATGTCATAAAGCACAAATCATTTCAGACTGGTTCCTCAAACATGACAATGAGTTCACTGTACTCAAATGGCCTCCACAGTCACCAGAACTCAATCAAATAGAGCACCTTTGTGATGTGGTGAAGCAGGAGATTCGCATCATGGATGTGCAGCCGACAAATCTGCAGCAACTGCGTGATGCTATCATATCAATATGGACAGAAATCTTTGAGGAATATTTCCAGTATCTTGTTGAATCTATGTCACGAAGGCAGTTCTGAAGGCAAAAGGAGGTCCAACCCAGTACTAGTAAGGTGTACCTAATAAAGTGGCCGGTGAGTGTATACATCTATATACCTACAGAAAGCTTAATAAGATGATTTATCACTTTTTAATCCAATAACTGACCGTTTACATTAAACTGTTTGGGTATGAATGCCAAAACAACCTCTTGAAAAAAAAAAAAAAACAGCTGATGACCCTGGTTGGTTTAAGGGATTTACTGGGGTCATTTTGGGATTTTTATTAACGGAATAGTTAATGTCAAAAATGAAAGTGTATTCACTGTTTAATTCAACTTTTATGAGTTTCTTCCGTCTGTATAAGATATTTTTGAAGAAAGCTGAAAACCTGAAATCACGTACAGCAATAATAGGAAAAACACACACAAGTCAATGGTTACAGGCAGTGATGTAAAGTAACTAAATATCAATATTCAAATTACTGTAATTGAGTAGTTTTTCTCAGGAATTGTTATTTACTAAGGTGTACTCTTACTTTCCCTTGAGTACATTGTTAGTGCTGTATCGATACTTTTACTCCACTACTTTTCTTCAACCTGCAGTCACTACTTTATTCTTTCTTGTCTATGGGGATTAGAAAAATCAGTCCTTTGATTCCTGTCTAATCGAATCGCACATAGAAGGAAAATCACATCATAATAAATGATCTGAAGACATGGGCGATTTATATTTGCAGCAAACTGTTTGGAAGCATTGAAAGTGTAAAAGAAGATGTTATAAAAATCTTTACACACATTGACCCAGAGACTGTTTAGATGCATGTCACTGATGAGAAGATGACGGATGTTTACTGTATGCTGACTGAAATGGCCTTAAACACCCAACAGGCACGAGACGTCAACATGACGTCAGATTGACGGTGTACCCCCTGTCATAGTGATGTTGCATTTTGTTTGAAAATGTAAATTGTGATTAAGTCAGAACTAAACGTCAGACTAACGTCAGTATCTAACGTCAAACCTAAAACCAACCAAATATCAACGTCTATTGATGTTACAGCTTGGCGTTGTGTGGATGTTACCACTATACCGTCAGTCAAACAATGGATTTTGGTTGTCATACCTGAGGAATAAATGTCAGTATTTGATGTCAATATGATGTTGGTTTAAGATGTTAACGCCATTATTGGACATCAAAATAACGCTGTCCTTAGACGCTGGCTCGACATTGAATTTTGGTCACCTGCCATCACAACCTAAATCTAACTTAATATTAACGTCTTATGACGTTGTGTACCTGCTAGGTAATAACTAAATGCACTACAGAATGTTACGTTTACACACACATGCACAAATTACATGTAAACGCATCAGCTTTTTACAGAGAAATACTCTTGAGCACTTTTTACTCATACTTTTGAGTAATATTTACAACAGATACTTTTACAGTACTTACACTAAATTTTTAGGCAAGTATTGTTACTTTTACTTGAGTATGATTGTTTAATACTCTTTCCACCAATGGTTGCAGGTTTTCAACACTCTTAAAAATATCTTCTTTTGTGTTCAACAGAAAAAAGAACCTCATAAAGGTTTGAAACCACTTCAGAATGAGAAAATAGTCACAGAATTTGCAGTTTTGGCTGAACTATGCCTTTAAGGTCCCTAGAAGTCAACATTGGCTTTGGTTTTGGTTGTAGTGATGTCTGGCTGAAAAATAGAAATGCATGTTTCATAGACACGAAAAGACAGAAAGATGGACAGAAAACCTACGTGATCGACGATGTTCTCTTTGTCTCTGGGCTGTATTGATGATAAATTGTTCGTCTCTTCCGTTGAATTGTCTGTTGTCTGGAATTAAAATCACATTGAGACATTGAGCATGATATTCACATGGGAAAGTACTTGGGACAATAGTATCCCTTGATGTGCACAATATTAATTGAGATTAAATGATCAACTAAACTGGTTGACAGAGATAACTAGTTATGCGGACGTTATATTTAATGATTTGACCAATCAGATTCAAGTGTTCTGGAGAGCATGCAACTGTATTTACATTACTGAACGTAATAAAAGCTCTTCGCCAACCTTATTGATTCTCTCTCCGATAGAAATGGTTTGATTCCCAGCTATGGTTTCAATAGCGCTGTAATTTTGGAGGTTTGAAGAGACATTCTGTGGATGAAGGCTTGATTTTGCTGTCTCATTGTCCATCTGAGGGGAAAAAAGAAAAGAAAACTGCATTAATTCCGTGTGAACTGACCATTATAAATTGGTTTCAGTTTTTAAGGGATTAATTCCCATTCGTTTAATGAGCCATTCATGAATGATTTAATTTGCATAGACCTAACTCCTAAGGAGCAATTACTAATTGATGTAACAATTTTGAGCTTAGTATAAATTAGAAAGATGAAGGAATTTATTATCGCAAAACTGCAGTAAGGAAAATTGTGCAATTATTTGAACATGAGCTGCTGACCTTTAAAAATCACTATCGTGAGCTGAGGGCTTGCAGGGTTCTGTTTCTATTCATTTTGTAAATCATTCGTGATTTCTGGATGATGAATTTAAAAATTATTTTATCACAAACAAAGAGCAATTTCTGACCACTTGTAGAACTGATAGTTAGAAAGGAAATCTAAAGTTTTTAGTTGTAAAAATGTTAAGTCATTCATTCATTTTCCTTTGGCTTAGTCCCTTTGTTTATCAGGGATCACCACAGCGGAATGATCCGCCAACTATTCCAGTATATGTTTTTGTTGCAGTTCCAGACACAACCTAGTACTGGGAAACACCCACTCACACACACATTCTCGTACACTAGTCAATTTATTCATTCATTCATTTTCTTTTCTGCTTAGTCCCTTTATTCATCTGGGGTCGCCACAGCAGAATGAACCGCCAACTTATCCAGCACATGTTTTATGCAGCGGATGCCCTTCCAGCTGCAATCCATGTCTGGGAAACATCCATATGCACTCATTCACACATATAAACTACAGACAATTTAGCCTAACCAATTCACCTGTACCGCATGTCTTTGGACTGTGGGGGAAACCGGAGCACCTGGAGGAAACCCACGCGAAGGCAGGGAGAACATGCAAACTCCGCACAGAAATGCCAACTGGCCCAGTCAAGCCTATTCGTTGGTTCGAGCCTCAGTTGGGTCAGTTGACATTTCTGTGTAGAGTTTGCATGTTCTCCCTACGTTCGCGTGGGTTTCCTCTGGGTGCTCCGGTTTTCTTAAGTCCAAAGACATATATAGGTGAATTGGGTAGGCTAAATTGTCCGTAGTTAATGCGTGTGAATGAGTGTATATGGATGTTTCCCAGTGATGGGTTGCGAGTGGAAGGGCATCCGCTGCATAAAACATGTGCTGGATAAGTTGGCGGTTCATTCCGCTGTTGCAACCCCAGATATTAAAGGGACTACACCGAAAAGAAAATGAATAAATGAAGACCAATAATCCAGACTACAGACATTTGACCTTTTATCACAAAAAGAACACTGTTAGCAGTTTCCTGAAGAATCCACAGTAACTTACTGGAAGGAGTTTGCCATGCCATGGTCACAGTTTGAGCATGTGAAATTCTGTTGTACGTCACTGAGAAAATAGGTGCTTAAACAAGATGATTAGACATTTAAAAAAGCGAGCGATTGGTCCACATTCTAAATTTCTCTCCAGAGAGGTCACGTTTTGGTCCTCGATTGGTCTCATTTAGTCACATTCATCTAGCTTGAACTTTGCTCTTGTAGCACGAGCTTGAGTTCGATAGCGCATTCGATAGCGTATGACTGGAAGTCATGACATTTAATGTAAACACTGAAAATGATTAACCAATAAATACATTTTATGAGTGTGTGAATACATTAAAAACCCTGTACAATCCATGTTATCCATGTTGCTGAAATATACAATGCTTGGCATACACCCCTCACAAATCTATCTTTTAAATTCATATTTTAATAAGAGCTATACAATATTATATTTGTGCATATACGTTAAATTGGTCAGTACTGAAGCCAAATCTGGAGCTAATCTAACAAAATAACTTACAATAGTAAAAAATAGTAGCCCAAATTTATATTAGGGAAAATATTAAATACAATTTTTAAAAAAATAGCAAAAGTCAAGAGAAACAAAAAAAAAAATAGAATTTTGTTGAAATGTTGTAGTTTGTAATTTTTTTTGCAATATTTTGCTTAAATTTAATTGTATTATATTTCAATTTCCAATATTTTTCTATGTTTTGTGACTAAAATGTTATTTTAATAAATAAATCTGATTAATAAATCTATTTTGTTAAAATGCACTAATATATATATATATATATATATATATATATATATATATATATATATATATATATATATATATATATATATATATATATATATATATATATATATATATATATAT